CACAGGAGCGCTCAGTATGAGCTGTCTCCCTCCCATGTTTGATGGCATTCTTGGACCATGGCTGTCAACGTGTCCTGTGTGCAGGTTGTGCTTGTAGCACGCCTGAGGGACAGAGAGCTGTTCCTTCCCCATTTAGTAAGGGGGAGCAGAGGCCAGGGGTGGTGTTGTCAGGGATCTAACGCTGCTGTCCACAAGCTGTCCGCAAAAGTTACAGGTACAAATCCTACACAGGGTACTCTTGCATCAAGTCTGAACAGAGCCCTTTAGCTTGCACAAGGAGACATGTTCTCCCACCTCTTCCAGTTCCTATAAGTGGGGTCAACACAATGCAGTGTGACTTGCCCTGGTCATGAAGGACATCTGTGATAGAAAAGAAACTGAAACAGATCATCAAATCCAGACTTCAGGAGCTGAACCATCTTTACCTCTTCTGTCATGCAACACTTCCCATGTCCTCTGCTTCTGTGTCAGGCAATGTCAGTTATAGCCTGGCAGGTTTACCTCTTACCTCTGCTCCATGATCCTATGAAGATGAAAGGGTTGTCACCCCTCGGTCTTCTTTTTTGGCCTACACTTCCATCTACCAACGAGTCCACTGCTGTCGAAAGCCCTTACACATGAGGAAAAGATGACTTCTCTGTCACTGAACAGCAGGCAAAATTTCAAATAGATATCAGAAATTATAGACAAAGATAAAGCAGGAATTTGGGAATGAAATGACGACACTATTCCACAGCAGCATTGCCAGCTCATGTGTTCAAAGAACATCAACTGGCTTAAAAGTTAAAAATAAACAACAACAAAATATCAATCTTAATTTAAATCTTATTTTCTATTGTTGCCACATTTTATATCCACTTGGGGCTCAAGGATTTATTTTATTTTATTTCAAGCCATATAAGGGCCACAAGTCACAAGAAATCAAGACTCAAAAACTTCTTTGTTCCCTGTTTAGTTTTTTTAAGTAAAACACCAGAAATGACCACAAAGAACAGAACAGCATCAAAACATATTCAGTCTATTCCTCCTCAGTTCAGACAGGAGCAAAAGAAGCAAGAATCTACAGAGTCAAAAGATGTGAGAATATTTCTTTTTAATTTAAAACAATTGCAACAATATCATTCACAACCCTTCTCATCTCACACAAATACTCTCCAAAATGTTAGCAGTGCTTCACGCAAACAGCTCTGAATGGTGCAAAGTAAACCAGTACAGACACTTCCAAGATACAGCAGTAAAACCCCTTAAGAGTGAACAGAAATCTCAGCCATTAAAGGTAGGAAGGGCGATGGGGAAATAAGAAAAAGTTATGTCCAGTTACATATTTTGCATAGTCTTTCAGTGCATGAAAACAGCAAAGAAAAGTGGTTGCTGCCAGAATGGAGAACTAAAGGAACGAGTTGGAGATGCCTCTAAAACAATCTAACAAGCTCTGGTTGCTTCTGCATTCAGAGTGGGACTCTGACTCAGTGGAGGCTGCCTGAATGAAAGGAACTGGACTGATGCTGGTTTCAGTTACACCCAAGTCAGTCAGAAGTAAGGTCACTGCACCCAGTAGAATCACAAGTGATAGTAGTCCAGAAACTTCTAGACTTATTTTTAAACCATGGCTTTGAATAAATGTTTATCCTAATTATATTTTAGCTAGACTAAATAAGAGTTTGTGTTTACACATGATTTGAAGCCTGGAGATTGTCTCAGAACAAGGGGTCTAGTGGATCCAGCACACCACTGGCAATGAGAGGAGAAAAGGAAAACAATGAAAAGTTGAGTTTGTCTTCCTTCCACTCTCCTAACCTAAACATATCCTACAAAAAAGTAAAAACCAGTCTGAGAAATAAGAGCACTATTTGCTGCCAAGTCCTGGCTTGCCATAATTCTCAGATCAGGTTGTCTCAAACGGCTCTCCTCCTCCATCCCTTGTCAAGAAGCTCTCAGCACACCTAACCCCCAGAAGACACACAGAGTCTCCCCATCAGGCACTGCCCAGGTTGTGCACCAAGGCCTGCCTGGCCCAGCACATTTAAGTGCAGACAAATTCAGCATGGAAGGCCTGATAAATTAGTCATCCACTCAATACAGTCTGAGTGTGACTTCTGCATGGTGAAGTTTAAAACAAAAAACCCAACCAAACAAAACTAACTCCCCCACATCAGGCTGAGGTCAGGAGTTTACATCCTGCTCCTCCAGAATCATGATGTTCTTCACACATATCCCACCACAAAAGTGAGATGAGTGAACTGGACATTCGAAAAAGGAGGGAAGACACTACTTTGGGAGGTAATAAAATAATTCCTCCAGCAGCTGAAGAACTTTTACCGTATTTTCAAGTGCTAAATTTTAGATGTGTAAACCTTTCTCCTAAACTGCTCCCTACGTTTCTGACCCACTAGAACATAAGAGTGATGAACTGAAAGGAATTTCAGAAGCTGAGCTGCTCCAGTCCAGCTCTCCCTTTCCATTTACCATTTCCAGTTTATCAGCTGCCAGCTCTTCAGGTGCCTTCTATTACCTGAGATCAACCAGTCCTGCAGCCTCTCCTGTTCTAGGATATGCCACACAAATGGTTTGCAAGAGTCAAAGCTCCATCCTTAATCCTACAAGACCAGCCATGTTTCCAGTTAATAATGGACATGGGAACTACTCTGTTGGTCTTTATCTACCCAGGGTTTCTAAAGAAAAAGGTAGTGCCAACTAGCTCTTGTTAGTTTATAAACAGCCCTTTGAGTTCACGAGGCGAGAGGGACGACATTGTGTTGAACTTCCTTGGAATATAACTGGGGCACTCAAAAAAAAAAAGGGAAAAACATTCAAACCCCCAAAAAACCCAGAGAGGTCTTTTGTCCTTTTTCTACTGCCAGAATGAAAAAGCACCAACATAGCTATACAGATGTTTTGTTCTTTTATTTTAAATAAATAAAAGATGTGTCACTGCACAAGTTACTGATCCCATTTTCAAACCTGGCATTTTCTGGTGAAATACACAAGTACTCAAAACCTGGAATAAGGGAAAAAAATTACTGGCAGCTTTTATTTTGTCCAGAACTGGTGGCTTAATAATTACAAGGCAGCTGAATCTCACAGGAGCCACTTTCTAATGTGGCAGGACACTGTTCTTTTGTGTCAGAAAGAGCACTAAGTGCAGGAAGCTTTCTCAGCAATTAGGCACCATTTACACTTTGCATAATTATTGCATTAAAATCTTTTAAGATCAAAAACAATTATTGGTTTTTTTTGGCTCTGCATGAGGCTCTGTGACCAGAGGGAGAAGTATTTATTTTTTAACAGCATATGGAGAAAAAAAAAATGTCCTACTCATGATCACATTTTTAATTTAGGTTCTCTTCTGTAGTGTGTAGCTGCCTGAATTTTGCTATTAAACCTACAGGCACTGACTGTGAGTAATGAGAAGATGTAATTACACGTCCCCACTTCCCTGCTTCTCTAGCACTCTGGTTCTTTTTGGTTGTTTATTTGTTGGTTTTTAATTTTTAATTTTTTTTTTTTTTTGACTGTTCCAATTTGTTCTCGGGGCTCAGTAAGATTACATGAGGCAGTTCCAGCAACAGACTCTTAGCAGTGGCCAACACTGAACCTTTGGGTTTTGTTTTTTTTTAAATCATGAAAGGTCGCAGGCTCACCATTGCATTCTTTCTAGAATCAGTGTTTCCAAATACAATTTAAAAACCCACATATATATATATTCTTGCCTGTGACACAAACTGAAATAGCACTCAAACAAAAGGACAGGAAAGGGCAGCCCCTACCTACCCACCATGTCATCCCCGACAGAGATCTAAAACACCTTTTAGAAGGTGTCTGTTGACCAGATCAGATTATTGGTGTGTTTGCAAGTTTAAAGAAAGCTGAAACATCATTTCAAGGAGGTGATTGTTTTGGTTGTTAGGTTTTTGGTGGTGGTGGTTTTTGACTGTGGGTTTGTTTGGTTTGTTCTTTTTTTAAAGGGAGGGAGGAGAGAGGGGGAAAAAAAAAAAATCAATAAATCAGCAATTTTACTAAACAATTTTCCCCACTCACGGATGGTACTAAATATTTAAGCAATCTTTGGCAGAAAGCAGAGTTGCACTGCAAGTGCTTTGTCAGGAAGTTGATTTTAGCTGGAACGTGAGTGCTGTAGATGCAAATTTCCCTGAAATAAATATAATGGGACATTAACCCTTTCTCTACCTCCTTCATAAGAAAATAAATTTAAATAATAGTCTTGCCTTTCCCAAGGTTACGTATCTAATTTTATGGTCACGTCTGCTTCTTTTAGCCAGCTGTAATCCTGAATCTGTTGGAAGAACTTGCAAAACAAACATTCATGAGAAGACGAAGAAACTGATGTCTGCAAAAACAAAATCTAATACTTTTCTTTGGCAGAAAACATACAGGGCACTGACAGGAGATTGTTTCCACCTCCATTAGTTTCTTAGGTTTATGCATTTAAAAAGGCAAACCACAATATTATAAAACTGGACTATAACAGATACAAATTCAGTTGACTTTTCTCATCGTACGTAAAATAATCTCTCCAATAAGAAATTCTGCTTTGAAAAGCACTCACACACCCCCTCCCTCCAACATTAAATGTGATATGATCTCTCCAAGTGGTCTGGACTCTGTTTTAAAACATGAGTTCCCAGTTACCAAAGACTCAAATATTTCTTTGTGGTCTTCAACAGACGCATGGACAGAACAGGCAGGAGCTGGGCTGAACTGGGCTATTTGTGTTCAACACAAACTTCTGTTTTCTCCATATACTAGCTGCAAACTTCACCAGTAATCTGCATGGTTTAAAGGCATCCTGTAAGGTGTATAAATTTAAAACAATGTGCTGTACATCACCTAATAGAAATTTTCCCTCAAACACTTAAAGTGGCATAAAATGACTGGTTTTAAATAAACTATAAATATCCCATATTTTCCTTTGCTTTTTGGCAGTCCAAGGGTTGGGGTCTTTTGTTGGTTTTAGATTTTCTTTTTTATTGTACACTTTTTTTGGGCAGGTTAAAAAGGCTTATGGTTTCTTAAGGCCAGGTAATAGATTTGAGGCCTAACTTGGTATCCTGTGGTAAAAATAAATGTAGCCCAGGTCTTTGGGAGGTCGTTCTGAGGCACAGACTCTGAGGTCATTGTAGATCACCCATCTGAAATAAAAATAAGATCAATTACATTCCATGTGTATAAAAAAATCATCACAAGTTTTAGGGACTTCTCAGATCCAAACTTCAAAGAGCTTAAAATCTAAAATTAGGCATTGCAACAAGAACAAGAAATGAGAGAAATGGCTGAAGCAGGTTTACTTGCATAGTTAGGAACTGAAAAGGAAGAGGGACATGCAGAGGAATGTGTAGTTACAATTCAAATGAAGGAAAATTGGGGATTCCCAACGTTAGGAGCACAGCAAAATCACAGCCAAGATTAGCACTGCAGTACTACTGTCAGACCATAGTTTGATGGGTTTCTATTGAGGGGGAAGCCCAGATAAAGGCAGATACAGAACTGATGTCCCAAAAGACACAGATGCTTCCAAGAAAACATTGTCTCATTCTTCTGTCTCTCTCCCCATTCCACTCACCTTCCTTCTTTTCTGAGATGACAAACGTAGTGGCCACTCATTGTGGATGTTCCCATGTGGCTGATGAACCCAAACAGCTCATATCCTGTTTAAGAAATAAAAATGAGACCATAAGTCTTTTATTGCTAACATTGCTACATGGCTCCAAGGGAAACCTTTCTAATACAGGAGAAGCAGCTAAGCACTCCTAACTTAGACTCTGCATCCCCAAACACAGTTTCTGTTAAGACTGCAGCATATTCTTGCTTTAACTAGCAGTCAGATTCACTGTCAAACATCAAACCAATCCAAATCAAACCCACACAGATCTGTGCACGTACAGCAGGGCTGTGACCACAGCCCCTGCTAGGAAAGGGGAAGCAGTGGAGTCAGTCCCAGTTCCCAGAGAGCACCACAGAAAGTGCCAGGTCTGAAGTTCATTCTGCACACAAATTACCTGTGTTGTAAGTGTGATCATAGATTCCCTATAAATCAAACAAACCAAACAAGTTTGTATTTCAGCAGCCCATAGAAGAGAGGACAGGAAAGACACCTCTTCCTTTAATACAAGGACAATTTTTGTGCTTAATGTCTCTGGAGAACTCAGAACTGATTCTTGCTCCCCACCCCTTCATGCCATTCACCCACATGACCACCAAAAGTAAAAGGGTACCTTCTTTCAGGATATTGCATAAGGACAGGGGCCTGGATTTTGGTGGAGAGGGCTTTCTGGAGCCATTTTACAGTATCATGTTGGTTACCAGGATTTCAGGCACTCAGTAAATGGTCTCAGTCTATAAAGGCTAAGTACCACAAAAAAATTATTATTCCACATCTTTTTTTTTTTTTTTTTTAAAAATCTAATGATAATCAGTGTTTCCCATGTCTCCAAGAGACTTAAGATTGGTCTATATAATGTTAGAAACAAAGAAATGAATGTTCTTACATAATACCAGCAACCATAGAAATAAAAATCAAATTGACTGTCCATTTTTTTTTATAAGATCATTACAGTCAAGACCAGAGGTACAAATCCACAACGTACAGTAATTTGTTAGAACTGGTCACTACAGACCCTTCAAAAAGCGTTGTGTGATACCCTTATGTTAGAACCCCAGCTAAGCTTTGGTACTCCAATGCTTTTACACTTACAAAAGGTTCTTTGCCCACTTCACAACTTTGACTGCTGCACATTAGCCCCATCTTGTGGTTTGTTTAGCAGTAGTATGACTGAGGCTCTCAAAAGAAAAAAGAAAAAAATACCCAAAAGACAAGAGCAAAGCAGTACATGCACGGTACCAATTATACCTGCCAAATTGAGAATAAAGAACTTGGTTTAAAGGATTATCTGCTCTCCTATGGGACCACAGGAGGACAAAAAATCGGGTGGTCTGTAATAGCAGCATTATCTTTAGGATGCTTAGCCTCTGAAGTTTTAAACATTCTAGCATTTTGTCTTTTTATCTTGCAGCAATAAAACAAAAAGTAGAGCTAGGCCAGGAGAGACTTACACGTTGTGGCAACAAGCTGGACTTGGGCTATTCAGTGAGTTCAGGGAAAGTTTTCTGAGCAAACACAGCCCACAGAACTTAGAAGCCCCACAGAGCTGGGCCACCAGTAAATTGCTTGGATCTTGCCCAAAAAAACACAATAACTACTTTCAAAACAGAGAGGAGCTCTATGAATGGTGTAAGTGTGATGAAACAACATGATAACCAGTTCTAAGCTGAGGGAGAACTTACTTCCAGACCCATCTTTAATCCTGGGTCCTTGTGGCCCTGTCTCTGCAAGAATATTGGCATTAGCACTGTTCTCCATGTTCATCATGTCCAAACCAGGCTCACTTTCTTTCTCAAGTTCAGGGTGGCTGAAGATCCAATCCAGTGCACGCTCCAAATTATTGTTCTGGGAGTCAAACAAGCAAAGAGCAGCATTTAACACATTCTCTAGCATCATGTTTCCACTCATCAGTCTTCGAAGAGTAAGGATTGTGTTCGACAGCACTTAAAACTTTTAAGATACATATTCTACCTCCATGGAAAATAGTATTCAATAAACACTCTGCAGAAGCCTGACAGAAATCTTCCCACAACTAATTCCAGTAGCCCCCGGGTTCTCATCTTGAGGATGCATAATCTTTAGGTATTCAGGTTGCTTCTCAGCAGACGTAACAAGAGGCTAAGTTTTCCTCACTTTCCTCCATACTTCAACGTTCACACAAGACAAAAATCACCCTCCCCACCCTCACCCAGACAAGTCAGGCATCCCACACTTTGTCAGAATAGTTCTATGTGCATCACCCACTAGCTGGATTTTTATACGCATGTTTCAAAGGCACCAGAGCATGTACATGTACAAAGGACATAATATGAAGTGAAATAGTATGGAAGTGTGACCAGTAACTCATGGAACTCACTGTTGACTTCAGTGCTTGAACTGCCAGATTCCTCTGGAAGCCCATGGAGATGATAATTGCCACCATCTCTTCGGGAGGCTGGTTATCTAGCCCAACAGCTCCAAACGCAGCTGCAGCACTGGAAGCACCTTCTCCAAATGTAGGTATGACCAATGGCTCAGCAAAGTCTGGAACAAACAAACATTCATCAGCTCATTCTTTTGACCCCCTAGACCGGAAAGTCAAGAGCACACACAAACAAAAAAACAAAAAGGACTTCAAAATCAGTCTTGACATCAATGTAACTCATTTTACTGGTCCAATTGGGACTCAAATGCACAGAAAGCCTAAAAAACAACAAAATGAACGTGCACATTACCAAATATCTAGGTGAACAAACTCATATTGAGTAGCAAAGATTGTTATGGAAATAATGATGACACCAGAATAGTAGACAACCCAGATGATAACACGTATAGCTGTAAAATGAACTCATTCCATAGCTCAAATATGTCCGTTAAGCCCAATTGAAACTCATTCCCTATCTACACAAGCAACACAAAAAGCCTGAAATGAAATGTGAACTCAACCAAATCTGGAGTTTCCTGACAAGGAAGGGCTCAGATATACTCAGTGCTGAACCATGAGTCTAAACTTTGCATGGATGAAACATAGGAAGTGGAGAACATCTAGCAGCCCTGTCCATCAGTAGACAGCCAAAGTTCCAAATACAGCATGAATGCTCTAGCCTGAGCTACAGAAGGCTGATATGGAAGGAAAGCATCCCAGCACACAACATCCTTTGTACTTACACTTGATCACAAGTCCCTGCTTTCCCCTTAGCAGCACAGACCTAGCCAAAGGGTGGAAAACAGAGAGCTGGTCTACACCATCAGTGAGGACAAGAGAGTGTACTTCTGGCGTAACTTAGGTTTGTTGTTTTCTTCTAGTCAGAGGATGCCACATAATGGTCAAGATCTGCATATCCCAAAAGCAGCTGAGGAAAGGTCACTCACACCTCCAGGTTTCCTGGGGTGGGGATGCAGCCTTTTGTTTCTCTGTCACACATTATAAAATTGCTACTGGCACCAAAGTAAACAATCAGGAGTTGAGCTTAACTTACACCTTCCAATCACTGACCTGGTTCTTCCATGTGTGCAATGATCCAGTTGAAAGCGACTTCAGCACCCAGGTTGCCTGTGTAGTACACAGCTTTCCGACACGCTTCCAAAGGAAAACCCATCTCTGCCAGCTGCATAACTGAAGACTCATCAATATCTAGAGCTACAAGAAAGGACCTTCTAAAATATGGAAGTCTGATTTCATCCATTGTATAGAATTCCTTGTGGTTATTATGATTCCACGTATACCACAATAAACCCACACCCATTAGAAACAGCCTTGTACAGAGCATTATAGTATTTGTTACTGGTAATCTTTTGTCTCAGTAACCTACACAGATCCTTAAAGCTTCATGAATTCCTGCAGGGCTTTATCAAAAAACCTCACCACTGGATTTCAAGGGGTGGAGAAGTTTGGTGCTGCGCTTAGCTAGAGATGGCAGGCAAAAGCAATGACCTCTCTTAATGGCAGGATCTTACAGATGAAACTACAGATGCTGGATCTAGCAGTCCCCAGCTGATCTTCATCTCTGAATGACAGGACCTGAAAGCTTCAGCTGAGATGATCAGAGTCCAGAGGGAGCCAGGATCAAGCAGCTGTGACCCCCAGAACTGCAAGATCCTGCTAATGAGCCCCAGTTAAAGGAGCAGCTCATATTCTGGCTATACTGACACTACTACACACTCATGCTGAAAAAGTGGGGGGAAAAAAAAAAATCAGCTGTTATTTAGAAGCATGCAGAGAAATATTTCATGCATCTGTATGAGTACAGAGAAGCCATTATCTGAGTAAAAGCTCGACCATTTTCTAAGCAGCTGAAATACCAGTCTCAGAAAAATGAGATACGTACACTCCACAAAATGGTTCATCATCCGATCTGAAAATTAAGAAAAGAAATAGGGAGAAGGACTTAAATGAAAGTTAAGTAGATTCATATGGGAAAAACAATTCATATTTTTTCCAGTCATAGTAACATTTGACCTCATACAGGCAGGGCATGTTCAACCTTACGTCCCTGATGTTTTTACCATTAATTAGACCAGGGGTGTTTCTGCCCAGTAATTTCTCTAACCCAACATGGAGTACAGTGTCACTGCTACTATAAACCAGCAGGAAACACAGCTGATGGCTGACCTAAACCAGCTTAAGCAAGAATCTGTTTTGTTCTAAATAAGGTACCATCACCCACACACTTACACTAAAACTAGGTCAGTCCATTGAGCAAGAGGATAAAAAAAGAACAGGCCTTTGTCTAAAACCCAGTGATAATCACTTAACTCTTATCTGTAGGTTCCACATGAAGTCTAGTACAAAAGTGCCCAAAAGATACAGCAATTTAGTAGCACCTCTTACGCAACTGTAAGAAATGGATTGTGGATTAATGCTCCACCCCACTTTTGACACCTGCCATGAGACTCAGTGTAGGGGTCCAAGATCAAATCTTTTGCACCAGGCCCTGGGAATGCAGAGTGATTTTACTGAAAAGGAGTCATGTACATGCACTGAAGGTCAACAAATGGACAGAAAACACTGTCTGCATGTAGCTGATTTTCATAAACGTAAAGTTCTCCACACACTTGTCTCTCCACTGATAACAAACAACATTAGTTGTTTGTCCTAGATAACAAACAACATTAAATAAGGTTGAGCACAACTTCATCCTAAAGTAAGGATAATCATCCATGCACATGGAATAGTTCTGCTGGTAAAGATGGAGAAATCATAAGGCAGCACAAGCAGCTCCACTGAGCAGCACTACACTACTGCAAAAGAGGAAACCACCACACAGCAGGGTAAGTACCACACTATGGCCAGTAGCACAAGTGAAATTATCTATTTCACAAAAATTGATGTTTATCTTTGGGCACAGCAGTTTTATAAAAATACTACTTATTTGGAGAGTTCAGAGAAACAGCAATCATAAATCCTGAAAACAAAGCAGAAAAGCTGGAAGAACTAGGGTTCTCTAGCAGGGAGGAAAAAAGTGCTGTGGGGTGTTGTAACAGTCTTCAGTTACAGAAGCACAGAGCTGCTTTTTTCTTCATAGCTCCAAAAGGTGAAGATTAAAGAGAATCAGGGTGTTATAGAGGGAAAGGGAAATACAGGGTAGAATCAGGAGAGAAGTCAATACATACCTTTCGGGTCATCAGGAATGACAATGGGAGGAGCAATGTCTGGAAGTTCCTCTTCTCCTGGCTGGAGACCCCTGGCCCGAAGGTGGCTGATATCTAGGAAGTCTGGCATGTCTACAGAAACATCTACAGAAGCAGAGAAACAGGCTAAGCTCATAAATCCAGACAAATAACCTCATGGTACAACCTCCTTTCAGAGAGGGAACTCTGGTGGTACTCAAGGCACAAACACAGCCAGGATTCTCCTCCTGAAAACAGTTCTTTGAGAAATTCAGAACAATTTAACTAGGAGGTCAAACTACATGAAGCTGTATTTTAACACCAAAAATCTGATGAACTGGTTTAATTTATCATAAAAGGAAAGATGACTCAATTAGGGTCTTCACAGTATAAACTTGAGAATCAAGTCAAGTCCTTATTATAGACCAAAGTGTGTACACCTTATGGATTATCTTGGCTCGAACGAGAAAAAGGTAAAAGACACATACCAAGCTTTTTGGGTACCCAATCAAGGCCAAAGGTGAATTTCTTGATTTGCACCACTAAGTACTCAGGAAACGAAGCAAACCGAGAAGTCCTGGGAAGCACAAGAAATGCAGTTCAGTGAAACAAGGCAGCAAAATCACAAGCAGCACAGATTTCAGCACCTCATGCACACTGAGGTAACTTGAACACTGAGTGAGATCAATAGTGATGGATTTTATAAACAAATTTCACAGAAGAGTTTTCAAGTACAGTGGAGAAGTATGGTAGTAGCTTTCTATACATTCACGTCCTCGACTTCAGCGCAAACCCTTGCAGATGATTCAGCTTGTAGGAAGATTATAGAAAACAACTACAAGTAATATGAAACTTGCCTACTCAAGCTGTTCTGAAGTGGAATATCAGGAAAGCAATTTTGAATTACATACTGGCTAGAACTTCAGGGCGTGGGCTTAAAACACATCTTGGATAGACCGGAGTAACAATTAAATCTGTGTTTTATTCACTCCCTTTCTAGTAACAGTAGCATTGTCCATGAGGTATCAGTCTGCTTACAAAGCATTTCATCAAACAAAGATTAAAAAAAGCTGTCATTTGTAGTTTTTCACATGAAAGTGCTAGATAAAAAAAAAAACCTACGTGATGCTCTTATTGAGCTACTATAGTATTTATCAAAATGGAAGACAATTCCTGATATAAGGGGTTCCCTGATGTTTGCCCACTTAGTGCAAAGGAAACGTTGACTCTTGAGCACCATATAACATTGTATGTACCATCATTCTCCTTCTCTGTGCTCTCATTTTTTCCACATTTCATCTCTGGCATCCTTACCTTTTATCTTCCATTCACATATCTCATCCTTTCTTCTAATTCACCTAATTCTGGGTAAAATACAGTAAATGCATCCTAAATATAAGGCCTTCACCCCATGCTATAAATTACTACTTTCTACATTCCTGTTAGCACCACCTTACAATTTTAGTAACTCTATAATTTGTGGCATGGACCTTTTGAATTTTAAATAGCAAAATATACTTCATCTAGGGGACAAAGTACAGCTAAATTACAAATTAACCCTGGGTCTATTTAAAGACTAGAATGATCTTCCGACATATTCACAGTTAGTACAAAACCCCTTTAGATTTCTGCTGCGTTTTTATTCAGCATGTGCATGACTCTCCAATTTTCAACACAATGTCAGTGAATTTGTTTGCCAAGACAGCAATGAGTTACTGATACGTTAAGTGATCTAAAAATAGAAGGTACCAAGCCACAGCACACCAGTTGCAGAGCCAAATTTTCAACTACCTCTTGAAGTTTGATAGTTGAGAACCATTTCTTTCTTGCTCAGCTGGTCATTACAGCTTTCATCAGGCTCAATCTGCACCTTACATTTAGTTTTGCTCAGCCCAAACCCTCATAAAACGCCAAAGCTCACTATGCCTTTGTTTGCTTCTCTCTGCATCATGTCCAGGTAGCAAGACGAGGACAGAGCACTACCATGTAGGTTTTTAAGAGGCAGACAGACACACACTTACTTAACTCCTGCGGATTTTGCTTGAAGGGCACTGCTCCAGAAGTCCTCTACGTTGGTTGGCTCGGCAAAGGCCTGCAGGCATGCACTAAATGGGATCTTGGCACGGACAAGCTCTGGTGGAGGCCTCCTTGCAGCTTCTGCTTCTCTCCTCTTCAATTCATAGGCAATCAATTCATCTGAAAAATAAATATATGTGACACTAAAAGCTGAATGAATATTGTCATGGTTGTGATGCCCCTCATTGGTCCTATTTCTGAAAGTTTTAGAAATGCAAAAGCCTAATTATTCATAAATCTTTTACATGTTTTTAACTAGATATCAAATTTTTTTTTGTCTGTGCTGGCCTCAGGAGCTACACTTACAACCACATCTCTTTTTTTGAAGGCTCCTGTTCATGGTGAAAATAGAACTAGAAATACTGGCCAACACACAATTAAAACCTTGCCGTGACAGCCAGAGTCCTGTGTTAATAGCAACACCAACTACCCACTCATCAGCTCAATCTGACTTGGAAAATTATTGCTGTCTATCTGTGTCATCTGAATTTGTAGACAGGACAGAATCATGTGTGATCTAGAAAGGGTCCTGATATCTGCAAGCTGAGCAGTACCATATGGGAAATTCATAAATTAACATACCTCCTGAGCTGTCACCTGGAAATAACTTGCTCTTTTATAAGCAACAGGATAATCACTGAAACTGTCGAACAAAGAATGAGAAGTTGAACTTAAACTGTCAAGTTGAAGTGGTCTTTTTAAAATATGCTGTCCTGTTCAAGGAGTCATGGGTTAGGAGAAAAGCAGCAGGTGGAATTCTGTCTTGTGCTATTTCAAAGGTTATGTCAAATAATCAAAATAGCTCTTTCTGGCTTTAAAACACTTTAAATTTTGAGATAATGTAGGAAATCAAAGGCACAGCCCCCTTCTAGTGTTCCTGTGATGTCCTCTCCACTTCTACCTCAAGCGTACATTTATTACGTTACTCTGCAAGACTCTCTGGCACTGACTGCAGGGGCAACCAAGATTTGTCAGTACCTCCGTCCTGCTTCCACGTCTTCTAGCCGCCTTGGCCATTTTCTCCTTTACAAACAAGTATGCTTTCTCAGGCAGCTCACAGGCATGGAAAAAAAAACATTCCTGTACACTAAATGAGTGCCCACCACTTCTTCCCTTCTCTCCTAAAGCCCAGGATACCCAAATTGTGTATTTTGGCTTTATAGATGATGAACCATCTTATATTTCTGCTCCCTATTATCACATTAGATCTTATAATCTGCTGCTAGTGAACACTAAGCCTATTTGGCTTTTTGGTTTTGTTTTTTTTTTTTTTTTTCTTTTATTATTTCTTCTATGAGTGTGTGTTTTTACAAGATATTCATTAGCTAGTATGTTCAGTTTCATTTTTAGAATTACAAAGTTTTTATATACTGGTTCACTGTCCAGGACATAGGACATCTAGTCATAACAGGGATCTCTGGACACCCCCACAAAAAAACCCCAAGGGTAAGTAAATTGTACTACAAGCTGTGTGGCACATCCCTGGGCCAAATCCAGGTTAAGGTTTTAAAATCACAAATCTCTGACATCGTCACTGTACAAATTTCTACCATTCTTGCTGATATATTGCTGAAGAGTGGCCCTGCAGTCGAAGAAGAAGTATGTCTGAAAACTTGCCAAGAGCATCCAGGTAGAATCCTTCTTCCCTAAAATATAAGCAGGGACAGTAAAGCCACAAACTGATGTGTGTTCAAAATCTCCTTTAAAGAAAACCAAACCAAATAACTTTCTTCTGGTCAGTTCAGTGGTTTGATTTGCCACATGGGCTTGAACCGTCCTATCCATACTAAGAGACCACATGGGGGTTAGAACTTCCTTCCCTCATGGTTGAGAGAGTCACCAGGTCAGTCAATAGATCAGTTTCTTTCTTTACCTTTGTTTGTTGCTGCCTCCATGGCAATGGGTAGCTGCATGATGTAATCCACCCTTTCTGTGTAGCGGACCTTTCGGGACTGGCAGCATTGGGTGCGTTCTTCCACCAGGAACCGGAAAACATCACTTGGGTTTTCTGAACCTACAGGGTTCCTCTGAAAGAAATCAAATCATTTAAGTGTTGACCGTTAAAATGACCAGAGAACCCAAAGGCTGCTGGATGTTTGATGGCAAGCACAAAGACACCAATCTTGCACCCAGATATGGCAGCTCAGCTTGCCTTTTATTGCTTGTAGAACCCTTGTACTCAAGTCCACAACGTCTGCATAGACAGCAGTGTCTTTCTACACATAGTAATTTGTAGGGTATGTACCTAGTGAATCTGACTGAGTCAAGGTGAACAGAAGAAGGTAGGAAAACTGCAGGTTACAATACAGACAAAAAGCTCACATAAATAACATGGAGCATCTTTTCAGCAAACAGAATTGCTCCTACGACTCCGAATCTGAACTGAAACAGAACAAGCAACTTATAGTTCATTATCCAGATGGGAATGTCATGCAAATAATATACCTCCTCTTTATTGTTCATGTTAATGCCTGTTATCAGTAAAAAGAACGGGAAAATGTCTTCTAACCACCCTATAATCAGTACGTGCATTTTGGGACGTGGAACATCATGCATGCAAATGTGAATAACTTCATCTAGACTGTCATACACGAATAAACACCCTCAGTTCTTAGGGGAAATGGGAAAAAGAGGGAAGGATGGACAAGAAAAATGCTTGAAATCAAACCTGCATGTAACTGTAAACTTCCTTTTCAGAAAGACAGCATTAAAATTCCCACTACTGGTTACTATACACGCACTATCGAGCTGGAGCTCATTGGAGCTAGCGTTTTGTACAGAAATGTTCAAGTGACAAATACCAGCTATTCTTTCAGCAGAGAAGTCCTTCCTCCCACCATGGTACAATGAGGTACAGCTGGGTTTTGTAAAAGAACTGGACATGGTAATTAGTTTGCTACCAACGATGATAGAAATTTGAAATAATAATCATAATACCTAATTCATTAATATTCCAAGATATACTTCTATATGGTAAACAAATGGATAGCAAGTAACATAAAGCAAGCAGCAACTTAGAAGGACAGTCACATATGTTTAGATTTCTTATGGCCTGCAGCAGCACTGGCCCTGTGGGTGGTCATGCAAGAGCTTAAAGTAAAGAGAAGAGACAATTAAAGAAAGAAATGTTTCTAAATCAAAATATGTTTTAATTAGTGTAATTTGCTACATATCCAAGTCTAAAATGAGTATAATTAAAAAATAACCCACTCATGTAACAGCTCTGCCCTCATTGTCTAGTATAACCAGGTAAAAGCAGCAGTAATTCAGATTTTCTCACCTCTACTAGATTTATAAGATGTAAGAAAAATTCCTGAGCGTCTTGTTGTCTGTTGGAGGAGAATTCCGGATGGCCTTTACTTATAAAAGCCTTAAACATTTGGGGAGATATTCCATTGTGTTGACGCTAAACAAAAGAAAAAGAAACTTTTAAAGAAGGATTTTTATTAATTCCTGGACCAAATACCCCAAAGTCACTCCACTAGATCTATCTATGACCCATTTCTGCCACTGAAGAAAAGATAGTTTCAGTTCCATGTGGTTTTCCATTTTCATAAAAAATGGAAGGGTCCTGAAACACGATTTGGGGGTTTTAGGATATGCTTTATGACATAATTCCTACAGTGTTCACTCTGCCTGATATTTCTATGGCATTTGCAAGTTTCAAGAGATTACTGAAGGTCTGCTAAAGGTTCACAGTTTTCACAAAGGCTAAAAGTCTACACTGTTTTCTAATACTTGACATTCCTCTCAGAACCCTGTTCCACTTAAAAGTGTGTGGGCAACAAAACACTTTGGTATATCAGCTAGCAGCTTTACTCAGGATAAAACCTCTCCAGAGATCTCTACAGAACTGAGCAGAGAAGAACTGATGTGTGCGGCACACACTCCCAGCTGGGTGGTTAAGACCAGACATGAATTTACAATTTGCAGGTGTTGGTCATGTTGAGGGACCATAACGTCGCTTCCATCAGTAGGAAACTGTCCTACTAAATTAGAAAATCTCTAGCTTGCAAGAAAGTCCTAATTTTGACTTTCTCACTTGCTATATCAGTTTAAGAAGCCTTCTGAACCACCCCAAAGTGCATTCTCAAAACAACACTAGCTATTATGCCTTTTAAATAACAATTTTGAAAGGGTCAGACCTCTTTACTCAGATTTGCCCTCATCCTCCATGGACCAAATAATTTTCAAGACAATTCAAGCAGAACGGTAGCCTTTAGGAAATGTCAGAGGCTGTTAAAAACTCCGCCAACCTCATTCTTTGCTACAGTTTCACTATCATACCAACATAAAAATAGAAAAAGCAGCATGAAATGGAAGGCAAACAGAACACACTAGAAGAGCAATATTTTCTTCTTGTTTCAACCAGGATAAGGTATTCCTAGACCCACTGAAATCAGAAGCAGGTTCTCCATTTTGATGCTTTTTCAATTTCTGGCAGTACACCAGCAACCACATTAGGCTAAGATGTTCTTTAAACGATCCTGACAGAGTCTCAACAAAGAGATGCTCCAGCAATTCCTGAATCTTGAGTTATATATTATTTCAGTGTCCTCAGCTGCCTTTCATCAAAGCTAGGACTGTGGAAACACATAAACCAGCCCAAATTACTAGATACCAGGCTTCTTTCTATGTCAGAAGCAAGAATATAGTAGGGTGACACATTTGCCCTGATGTATAATGTGTTGAGTTTGGAATCAAGCTTTGTTCCCACCTATACACTTTTTACTTAGCCATTTGAGCAGGAAGAAGAGAAATATGCAATGTGTGACAGTCTATAGGAGAGGATCATATCATGCTCTCTAGACCCCTTCCACCTCAAGGACAAGAAAAGTAACAGAAAAAATGGCAAAGCTCTAAACAGAGAATCAAGTCATAGCTGATGACCCTTTATACTTCCAGGCCATTTTTAACGTTCAAGTGGCTTGAAGAAAACTGCTGCCATTTCCAGACTAAAGTCCTGTGGTGGAACATTTTAGCTCCACAGTACCATGAATATTTATAGAATACCTAGCATACTTTCCCCATCAACAGTCGCAAAAGAGTTTAGCTAAATATAGTCTGTGCTGGACCACTGCAGATCTCATGTGAATGCTTTCACAGGCAGCAGCTCCCAAAAACTTTGGATGAAATCCAGCGACCCAGAAAACTTAAAGCTTCTCTGCATGTAGGAGGGGGAAAAAAAAAGTAAAATAATATAAATAAAATTAATAATTGATTTTACAGATACAAAGCAGAAGCACTTGAAAACACTGAAGGCCTTAAATCCTATGCAATTATACTTATTAGAAATGTCAACACAACACCCTGGATGACAAAATATTACCTGAATGTATATCAGTATTACTGGGGGGAGCAGAGGGAGACACTAAACCAAAAAATCACCCCCAAACTTACAAAACAGATTTTTATGTCCAGAGTGAGAGAATGGAGAAGATATCCATAACTGATTTTTTTTTCTCAATAAACCTTCCATACAACAAAGAACTAAAGTAGTAAAAGCTGTTTCAAATCCTAATACAAGCTATCAATTGCTTGATGAGGGAGTCAGTCATCTGATGCATCTAACTACACCTTCATTAAACTGAACTTCTGAACAACACAAGCATTGTTAAATGCCAGTAGATGGCTACATCTGCCATTAAACAGTTCTCACTATCTCATTGCAAGTAGTGGCTGCTGGGCTACACATGGAGGAGTAGCATTATCCAAAGGGTTCAAGTCCCTGAACTTCCAGCACCTAATTCTTCATTCGTATCCCATATGTGTTTAAGAAAGGAGGCCACTCAGTATACATAATTTAATGTGAGGAGTCTGTTGAAATCTATTCCACTATTCCTTAGCCACAGTGATGCACTGATAAATTTTAAACTTTAAAGGAAACAAGCAGGATTCATTTATTGTACCAAATGAATGAATAGCTACTGTACAAAGATCAGGAGACACAGGACTTTGAGATGATGCAAACCACTCTGTACCAGACTATCTTTCCCCAAAATATCCTTGGCATTCTGATTTCAGAAGGAGAAAGTCCTGTATTAGTAACTGGCAGATGAAGGGAGAGGAGTCCATTTCCATAGAAATTATCACCATGCTTCTGTGACAGAAGCAGGTGTGACTTCTACTGTGTGTAAAACTACAACCTGGTACCAGAGATTCCTTCTCCATAAAGACAGCTCTTTCTGCAGGTAGTACTTCCAGTACTGGTTATTAGTTGACCTTTCATTTCTAAATTTCCCATCTGTGGAGCCTGTACTTTGACTCCATATGCTGCTTAAGGGCACAATAACAGAGGCTGGCAGGGACAGAATTATACTTTAGTTCCAATTTTCTCAGCATCATTCTAGGCAAGATGTTTTGAGATAGATGGTTTGAATAGGAAAACAAATTTAAAATAACAGATTCGCTTGGGTAGGTAACATTGCCCCTATAAATAATACATTGCTTAAGACAACTGTTAATTGGACAACTCCAGGGAAAATAAAGGCAGTTATAAAGGCACCAGCATTTTAGCATAAAGGCAAAATCTGAACTGGTCTTCTCACTCTGCAAGGGTTGATGGAAACTTAAACCAACTTACAAAATGAGAAGAAACTTTTCCATCTCACCACTAAACTACTAGCAGCTTTTCTTCCTCACAAAATCAAGCAAGAATAGGTAAAAAGATAAACCAGTCAATCAGGCAGTGCCCATTAGCCTTGTTAATAGAAATAGATCAGTCAGGCCTTCAACAAAAATCATCCTTACTGCTAAAATCCTGTTGGACAAAATATGAAGTGGCTTTCTGATGGCTGTGGGAGTGAATGTTTAATAAATCTTGCTGGATGAGGAAAAAGCACAGACAGACGAAGACACAGGTCTATGGATGTTACAATGCCAACACATCTCAATTAATTTTGCAGTGGAAGAGAAACAAGCAACTTTCATGTTGCAAAAGAACACCACAAAGGCAACCTGAAGATTACAGCATTTGGTACTAGAATAATATTGAGTTGTTGAAGCTAGATACTAGCTAGATATTGTGAGTTGAGTATCTGGTTTGCTTAAAAATTACTGCAAATTACAATAAAAACAGGACTGTCTCCCACTGGTAACACTATGACAGAAAATTCTATATTATGTAAAGGCGGGAGAAAAGGTTATTTCACCCTCCAATCCCTCTCTCCTTTGTGTCCAGCATGTTAGCTATACAGCACTTGCCCCTCAGTATATGATGAAACTGCTGTTCTGAGAAAGCTGATTCCAAGGGGTTTTCTACTATAAATCAGGGTATAAACATTGTTCTCGCCAGCTTGTCCAGCAACTAGAGTTTCAATTTATATGCAAACCCACTTATACTGCTGCGTTTCCAAGCCAGATCCAACTGGCACAAACACGCTTCTACATGATTTCTGCATCATGAAATACCTGAATAAAACCTCAGTGGACATGGCTCTGCATGGCTCCTTTTCCACCTACATGAAAGCCTCCAGTACCACTTAATCTTGCATTACCTAGACAGCTTCTCCTGAAATCAGGTGGAAAATTGTCAGACACTTCCAGGAAACAACTCTTTAGCTCTTGATACTTCTTTCTGAAATTTAGAGAGGGTTTAGAAGTTTGCTTCCAAATACCCAAGACTCTCTAGCTAACTTTTTGTTGTTGTTCCTCAAAGATAAACATCAGTTGCAAGTTCTATGAACTTTTGCACTCATCACTGGAGCAGCAGAACACTTTATTAGCAGAACCAATGGCTGCTTTAATGCTTTGCACAAATAGCCCCTGACTAATATATTCCTGACTAGGACCCTGCACATTCCACCTTGCAAAGCATCTCATGCTGGATCCACACATGTTCTTCAATGCCCAACACCTGTTCCCTTTTCTCAGGATATCACTTTTACCTAGTTACCAGGCTGTACAAACTCAGTCAAATACCTTGTGTTCTTCTTTCATCACCTGCTCAATAAGCTCAGATTTCATGGGTGGCTTAGAGTACTGGCCTGAAAGAAGGCCGTGTCCCAGTTTAGCCCTGTAGGGAAGAAAGTGGTGGGATGGAAACAAACATGTGAGAAAAACAGAAAAGATTTGTATTCCAAGCAAAACAGATGTTTACTGTCCTTGACCCCCTGATGAAACATCATTACCTGCAGCTAAGCAGGCAAATCTTCCCATTCTACCTCATGTGATATCTCACTTTCAAGCCCATGCAGAGGTGTTCTTTTGCCCTGCCATTAACTTATTTAGATTCCATTTAACTTGACCAAATAAATCACTGAGAAGAAGTGACACTTACATCTGAGTGTTAAAATCTTGTGTTGGATCAAGAGGAGAGTAGTCAAATATTCGTGGAAGGTTTCCCACATACCTGAACAGCAAGAACAAAACAGAAACATTCAAAAATTGCACCTAGATTTACTTCAGGATGTCCTAACAGATCCTCAGCTGCAATACATCATCAGGCTTCCTCTGTGCTAACATGTCAAATTTTGTATCACAACAGTGACTTAATCTACCCTTGGAAAAATAATAGTAAAAAAAATTAGGAAATGTATATTTTAAGTTTTGCCTAGAAATTTCTAGCTATAAAGGATATAGTAGTATTGTTAATCTGAAATTTAAATTCCATTCCTTGCTCTTGAAATAGCTGCAGAATGGTGTTGCTCAAAACCATAGGACATTGGTTCTCAGCCCAGCTCTTTCTAATCTTAACTAATGTTGCCAAATAAATTCCAAATTCATATCAGGACAAAAAAATAAATGTAGAAAGAATGTTTCTATTGAGTTTCTTCAGAAAAACAACAGCTAACTCCTGACAATAAACACCAAGGTAGACATTGCTCTAGCCAGTTTGCAAAGCACCGACCATTGCTTCCCTTGAGCACAAGAAAAAAAAAGGTTAGGTAGATATGGCCATGTTAAAAAAAAAAAAAACACCTAATTTCTGCTTGGTCCCTGTTTCAAAGATCTCCACTACTTTGTTGATACCAAGTGCTCTGGGTAACTCTAAGGATAACACTGTGGAAAGTAACCTCCCTTAAAGTCCATTTTGATATTTTTTTTTTAAATGGAGGTAGAAGAGCTGGCACTTAATGAATCTACAGACTGTATTCCATATGGTTAATGAAGTAAACAAACACAAGTTTTCTCCCTCCTCTTCTCCAGAAGGCAATGGCTACATGAAAACCTGGGAGGCTTTCCAAAATCTAAAAGCCTTACTTCCAGCACAGACACTGCTACTGCTGTGGGATGAAAGAGCACTCTGAGTTTTACTGCAGATCACAGACTGCCCTTTATAAAAAGGCTCCTGTCTTTGGACTGATGTGCTCAGTTTTCATCAGTCAGGAATATTCCATATTCTTCTGTTGTGCTTTTGCCCTTTTAATTTGAAAGAATAAGCAGCGACTAAACTGAAAGGGATCACATTGGATGTGAGAAAAAGATGAAAATACCATTTTTTGTAGAAAAACAAGCCACTGAGGGATGCAGCAGCCAGTGACAAGAACTAGTTTGAAGCTACTTACGCTCGCTGGAACTCTGGGATGCTGAAAATGGCTTGCATGACAGCATTGAGGTAGCAGCTATTGCCCAGGTTCTTCATGCCAGTGTATCCTGGGCCATACATGGGCTTGAGTTTCACACCAGATTCCTGAATCACTTCCCATTCAGAGATTCTTGGTTTTAGATCATTATCTCTTAGCCCATTCTCTGCCTGAAAACAACAAGATAGATAGATAGATAGATTTTACTTTCAACTTCTGCAGCAATCATCATCACCAACTTTGTGATCTATACTCTAGAAAAGAAGTGGCAAACCAATGGGCAAAGGGAGGTAAATCCTTCATGTAGGGGAGAAGAGCAGGGTCAGGAGGCTGGCAGCTTGTTCTTCCTATATACCTCAGCTCTTTAACACAGACCACTGTCTTTTGAGTGTTCCTAGCTGTGACCTCAGTCCCAGCTGAGAGCATCACTTCTCTCAGGGCTATGACCACAAGCCTCAGCATCAAAACACTGCACTTTTTTCAGGTTTCATATTCCATTTGCAACAGCCAGGAATAGCTGCTGCTGTAGAAGCTGGTTCTAGCAAATAAACCACAAGAAAACTGCAGATCCAACAACACTTCCCTTCCTTCAGATGGGAGAAGCCAGAATCTGTGATGCTGAAGTTTTTCCCCTTCACAGGTCAGCTTTCAGCTTGTAGGTACAGGTCACTACATTCTCATTTACTGCTAGTACTACTCCATCATATCACTAGGAATTTTTCAGACTGGTCTGAAAATCATACAATTATACAGATGCAAAACTTTTGAAACAGCAGAGACTAAGTTTTCCAGGTCACTGAGTATAACAGGTTTTCCAGAAAGACCACTGTAGAGAAGAAATGCTTTATTCATGATATTGACAAAGAAATCAGTATACCAAAAATATTAGTAGTCCTATGAAGGCTTTTGAAACTGCAGTTTAACTCTTCTCTATCATTTTAGAGTTGTTACTAGTTTCCTCCCCATCTGGACAACAAAATACCCTAAAGCACTACCAGGTTTGCTCACTTTTAACAGTTTTTGTGTTCAGGTTCTCAGGCAGTGATAGTAGGCTACATGCTTGAGTGAAAAAAAGAAAAAAAGAAAGAAACCACACCACAAAAAACCCACCTGCCTTTATAACCATATCGCATTCTGACTTCTTAGATCATTTAAACAGAACTGGAAACAACTTCCACTGAGATACAAACTACTAAGAGAGCTTCTCTACTAATAGAGACCCATGGTTGAGGAAGAGGGCCCTTTTTGCCCCAGTCCTTTTGCAGTGTACCACATCACAGCCCACCTGATTTTCTAGACTTGAGAAAAAGTACAGTTCATTTTATAGTGTAATTGTTAACAAGATCTAAACCGAAATCTGTAACTTTGAATAAAGAACCTTTCAACCACTTTTTTGTTTCTCCACTGCTTAACTTATTTTTAAGATTTCTATCAGTTGACACATGCAATAGGTTTTCCTTCACTCACTGTAATTAAGTATTCTAAATATTCTTCTTTGACTGAGTGAGGTTTTCCACCTTGAAGGAAAATGGCACATAACACACGTGAAGTGAAACACAGAGCCTAAAGACCGCAACAGAACTTTTTCAGAAGGCAACTTTCAGACTCGAGAGAAATGATTCACTCATCTCAGACCTCAGAAAATAAAGTACAAACTGACTGGCTGGCTGAACTTCACAAAAGTAAATACTATTGTAAGTCTGAAGGAATAACACAAATATAAGCTCCAAGTATCATTCTTCTCCTGTTTCTCTCCCACCCCAACTAACAAACAACAAATAAACAACAAACTAAATAAAAGAGGGATTTCCTACCACTTGCATCTGCAGCATATCAATTCCAAAGTGTGCCAAATGTTTTGCTATATGTGGATCTAAAACTGGCTCCTCTTCATCAAAGGAATAGACATCTACAAAAGCAAAGAGAAACCAATGAGCTGTAGTATCAAATATTACCCCTTCTCTTTGTTTGCTAACACTGCCTACACAACATGCCTTATATTCTCCAAGTTCAGTTATGACCAGCAGAAAAATGCAGTGACATCCATATAGCTCAAATACTTTCAACGTTCTCAACACAAGCACCTCAATCTCTCTCCTCAAAAGAAATTATATGTCCTCACAGTATTAAAGCCTAGGAATATTTATAGTGTTCATAATCTTCCTCCCCTACCCCCCCAAAATAAGAAATTTGTAGAGAAAAGAAGGAACAGGGCATGCAAACTTTTCATATATATGGCTAGTCCACATTTCGAACACAGCAACAAGAGATTCTGAATTTTGTGGAGCTACTAGATATAGGCAGACACATTAAAGTTTGGAGTACATGGGGTCAGCTGAGTACTGCCAATGACATCTTAATTTCTAGTACAGTTTGAGGAATCCACGTAGCTCCTTTTTACATAGACATACAGGGGGAACAGAGAAATAATTAGAAATAAAGAGGTGTTTCTTGGATCAGACACCACTGGACTGGACTTGGAAGACTAATCCTGTGGTTAGGGAGAAACACTGATTTTGTGACTGAGGTGTCTTCCTTTGGTATGCAAGATCTAGACTTCAGTTCCAGCTCTATCACAGGTCTTACAGCCTGAAGCAAAAGCCCATAAGCATTTTGGCAGGGGAAAGTTCTAACTGTGTATGGAAGTTGTATGTCTAGCAATAATATTTTTATTATGAAACCAAGTTTAATAAATTCAACAGAAGGACAAAACGGTTGAATGAAAAAAACCTTCCTTTCTAGTGTTTACCAAGCAAGTCCTGTAGCAAAGCTGAGTTGAGAGCAGGTTTCACCCACTTGAGCAAACAACAATAAAGCTGAAGGCATCATAAAGGGATATGAGTGCTAAGACATGCACTAGCAAGACTTGAACAGGCCTTCCATCTTTTCTGGCATCTTCCACTGCAGGGAACAACCATTTCCCCACTTCGGTGTCTACTCTTATTAAAATCTAGAATTCCTCTGCCTGTCTGCCTGCACTTCTCTCAGCCAAGTTTCCTTCATGCCCAGCAGAGTTTCTCACAGTGACCTTGATGGCTGGACTTGATGATCTTGGACATCTTTTCCAACCTTAATGATTCTGTGACCTTGCCCTCTCTGACAACATCTAGGCTGACAGAGAAAACTTGGCCAAGAGAAAGATGAAAAACCCAAGAGGAGAAGGCAGGAACCCCGTTAAAGGCTGTTCACAGCGAAAATACCACTTTTTTTACCTTTTTTACAATACCACCACCCTGCCCTCTCCTGACAACTACAGACCCTGGCTCTGACTCAGCCCATCACCTCTGTAAGACTTACAAAAAACTAGTCTCCTCAAAGTCTGCTAGTACCAAACCCACACTGAAATGGTAAGTGAAGGTTAGCCAAGACTTCAAATACCTAATGCAACTTTTAAGATTTACCAGCCCTATAAAAATATCAACTCTCTCAAAGCAGTGAATTGTGCTTTTGAGTCGTGCTGCCAGCTGCCATCAGACCCTCTATTAACATTGGCCTTGATGACCTCTCTGGCATGCATGTGGCTGTAGCTGCCCATCTGCTGGAATTCCTCTGTGTGGTAGCAAGACATGACTGTTCATCCACACACAAGAGACCACAACATTCCCATAGCCTTCTGGTGAGGTCATAGCACAGCTAAAAGATCCTGTAACATTCAAACACCTAAAGGAGTGAGGTTATACATCAACTCATCTTGGGTGACTACTTTCGACGTGAAAGCTTTGATTTTATTATTATTTGTATTATGGTAAGGAGAAAAACAAACAAACAAACAAACAAACAACAATGTTCCCTGTAGTTCCTTTTCTTCCACAGTTCAAGATTTACACCCGTACTGGCTGTGTAGACATCGCTTCTTCCTACTTAAAGGACAATAGGCAATGGCATCAGTGTCCCTGAAGAAACAAGTTGCACAGAATCCCCCCAAAGAAGCACCTGACAATTGCTGAGATTTGTGCCCACAAAGCAACTAGTTCAAATACCTGTCAGATAGGGCTGCCTGCTGCCAAGCCCCCACTCCAGTCCTCTAACCAGGTTCAAACACAACCTCGCAATGACTTGGAATGAAGTCTAATGGCACTGCTGAGAGAGGCAGCAGGTAGCACAGTCTGCTGAGTAGTACTCAACCTATTGAAGCAAGCAATTTTTTTGACTCTCTCATGCATCCTGTCCAAGAGTGGAAGACAGAAGTTTGGTTCCACTTCTGCCCTGATCCCAGCTCTGTTCATTAACAAAACACTACAACATGGGGCTAATGCCCCAGAAAGCTCTCATAATGTAGAGAGCACAGATTTCTCAAGGAATGACAAGGAGCTCTCCCCTGCTCCTCCTGTGTACATATAGCCTAAGTATAGTTGGAATACTGGCACCATCTCTTTCTCCTTCTTACTGGTGCGGAAAAATGATTACGTTATGTCAGCAGAGGGACTAATGCTTATTACTCCTCTGCCATCATCTCTTCACCTCCAGTCCAGGGAAGCAGAAGCCAGACAGACTTTGTGTCACAACCAGCAATGCAGCCCCTTTCCTGAAGCTCATCTGTCACCCAACCCTATCAAGAGGTTATGACTACCACTGCAATACAGATCAGAGAAAGAATAATAACTGAAAAGGAAACAAGGAAGGCTGGGGGAGGGAATTTTTTTCTATGAGGAAACCAAGTAAACATCGTCCAGAAGAATAAAGGTTTAGGGAGAACAGCTGGTGCCTCTCATTCAGAGAGAAGGAGGATAGCCTGTCTTTTGTTATCCCAAAGGCCACATAAGAGAGGAAGCAGCTGATCAGTGGGAGGCAGGACAGCTGACATAAGGAAACAAGTACTGCTGCTAAAGAGGAGAACAAAAAAAAAAACAGAAAAACTGAACAAAAAAAACAAAACTAAAGGATACTTTGTTTATTTTGTAAATGCAGTTGAAACCTAGAGCTGGGCAAATCCTAAACACCTTCAATAACTGATTTGGACAAAAATTATCCAAGACCAGGCTTACACAAGGAAACAATATTCCACGTGGGAAAGAAGACTGAATTTTGCTCAGTGTTTCTGTGGTACAGCTGGTTGAATTTGACTACAGTCTCCTTTCCCTGACACTGAATAAGACTTAACGATGAAAAACTCTTAACTGACGTGTGCAGCTTAAAAACAAACAAAACCAAAAAGGCTGGTCTAATCATCAGGTTTTCATCCATATGGTCATAAAAGCAACAAACTAATAATCATGCTATGTGTTCTTCCATTTTTTACTTCTTTGTACAGCTGCAGCAAAAGATCTCTTTGCTTATGACATTTTCAGCTTCATATGTTTTTACTCCAGCTCTCACAAACCACAGCAACACTGCAGACTGTCACTCTGAAAATATGCAATCCAGGATACATCTGTAGCTTTTTTCCTCTCTCAAGATCATCAGGTGTTTTAGAAATGAACACCACAGCAGCCCCATGCAGATGAGCATTCATTGGACTGAACACAATGTTACCAAAACAATACAGAAAAATAGCACAGTTTCTGGTGTGATAAAGACCCCAAACACATGTTGCCAAGAATGGACTTTTCAGACTTTAAAAAATACTATCCTGTTATTATTTCTACAATGCATAAGACTGAATCATTTGCCCTAGCAAATTTAGAACTGTTTCTCTGTATTCTGCTGTTTCAAAATAATGCCATTCTTCTATTACAAATCTACTATTATACAAAGAAACAAAAAAATATTTATGCCAAACATAAAACAGGAGGAGAAGAGCAGATAAAAAAGGTAAGGGCTTTCTCTGCATGGAGTGGGTCATTCCTTCCAAACTCAATCAAGATTCACAGCATTTGTTTACCATACCACTCTCTCAAACATTTGCACTAGAAGCACAAAACCACTGGTAATAGATATAGACCATTAGTCAGTCTCATGCATAAAAGCTATCCCATCTCTGAGCCTTCCAGGTAGCTGACCTGCTCCATCAGGAGTGATGGTTCCCAACTTCACTGCCAGGGGATAACCCGTCTCCTTGTAGTGCTCCATTGCATGCCCGTTCCCCCCACAGCCATCAAAAAACCACTTGCCACACAGCACAGAACCATCTGTCAGGTTTAGCCACAGATTCTCCCGCAGGTCACATTTTGAGCATTTCCAACCACTGCAAGAGAAAACAGGAAGAAAAGACAGAAATAAGTAAGGCAGGAACCAGTCCCGGATTGCCAGCTATGGCAGGTCAGACCAAACACCCACACCCAGCCTGGAGTCATGCAAAAGAATTGCTGGCTGAGTTGCTGGCTCTAGTTTTGTCACTCTGGACTGTATTAAAGAGCCTAAAACAAACAAAGCGTACTGCCCTCACCTGGGGGGAATTCTAACACCATTGTCTAACTGTACAAGTGCTTTGGCATGTTTAGATGCCTGCAGCTCTTCTTCCCAGAAGTCAGGGTCCTGCTTCCTGTAAGGCGACTTTGCGCTGAGGAATGCATCACAAGCGATTGTCACCTGCAAGACAAATCTATGTCAATCCAAACCTAACTTGATTCAATGACTGGACAGAACTTGGCATTCAGCCCAGTGCTAACCACATTCACAACTGGATATCAGTAAGACTATTCACATACTTAAATATGCATGTAATCTAGATGGCAGTTATCATTTTAGTAGGACAGTAAGAACAACATGGACTACATGACCTTTCCTGGGACAAGTTAAGGGAAGGACTACAGTAGGTAAAAGGAATCCCAAGAAACAAAGACAAAGCAGGCTTTTTAAAATTACTCTCTATTATAGCTGCTTAAGAAAGATCTTTACATAAAACCAAGCACAACGTGTAAGAAACCAAAGCACTGTCTTGATAAAAACCAAAGCAGGAGGCAATTCCTATCACCACTCGCACACACTCACTGACCAATGCTGGTAACTCTTCTATATTGGGTAATGAGATCTCGTAGTGATCAGGAAATATAACGAGTTTTGCTTCATCTTCATATTCAAAGTCATCACTGTTGAGGTCACTGTTTGTTTCCAGATCTGGAAAACAAGATGAGGAATGTTAGGAGATTGTCCCGAGCTCCAGGTTTCTAAATCATGGCAGGGGTACGGCCATGAAGCACTGCTTGCCTGGCATCAGCCTGCAAGCTGACACTGTCTGTAGTTTCTTAGCTTCTTCTGGCTAGAAATTTTTGTGAAATCCTGATCTACAGTGAAATCTGATCATCCTGCAAGAGGCTGTTCTGAGGAGCAAAATTTCCTTCCTCATCTCATTCCAAGTCACAGTTGATTTGGTCTCTCACCAAGCAGTGCACTGGTGCAGACATCACACTCTGGGAAGCAAATCCCTATTTTGGACAAAATCAATATGTAATATTGATCCTTTTACTAGGATCTTGAAATGCTATGCAATATGGAGACCAAGTCACACTACCTGTGCCCAGATTGCAAAGCAGGAATAATGCATCTCTGTTTCAGATCCCTTATTTTCCAGATCACAGACCTGGCTAAATATGCTATGGCTCCCATCCATCTTGAATCTGTGGCCCTTCCTCCCTTGAAGATGTCCACGTCTGGAAATATTCCCATACCTCATCCATTGTCTCATATAGCTACAGCACACTATCCCTCTCCTGCTAACTCCACTCTGTAACCAGTGTAATTATCAGTTTAAAATGCACTTATTAATTAATAAAGCTTTCCTTTGGAGATCAAGCCTTCCATTGTGTTTGTACACATTCTTTTCCAGTGTAAGGATGTTTTTTTTACTTAAATATGAGCCTTGATCAAGCAACATCAGCTAAAATGCTTGTCCAGAAAGAAGTGGACGCATAGAGAAGCCAGGAGAGTACACAAGTAGCCAAATGGCTAGTGGATTAATCTCAGGCTTCATCAAAAAAATAATTATCCCACAGTAACAAGACCGAGATAAAATCTTGCACAGTTTTTTCTACAACTGAAAAAGTTAAGACCAAATGTGCATGTTGTGTCAGACACTTCACAAGATTCAATTGCAAGAATAGCCTAGGCAAGGATGGGATCTGCTGGATCCTTCTCCCCTGTGGATATGCTAGGTCTGCTGTACTCCCATGTACCAGACAGTCACTGACAGAATAAGGTTCAACCAAGAAAGAAGATGCATTAGCAACAGCTAAAGCCGACTCTCATTTTCACTCCAAGTACATGCATATGCTTAATGGAGTATTTCATACTAAACAAGCATTGGCAGCAACCACTGCACCCTGGGAATGCCCAAATTCTCACAAGTATATTTGTGAGAGAGGTAAGGATGACAGATGCCAGACTCAGAAAACTAACCTCTCTATTTACCCACTGTTTTTGTCACTTGGATGTTTGGGACATTACTGACAAGTATTAAAAGATATTTAATTTTGACCTGGAAAGACCACCTCTTGAGAGGAACATAATCCAGTTTCCACTCAATTCTCAGCCCACCTACTGCACCAGCCCATGCTGCGGGGAGACAACACCCACTGTCAGTGACTTCCAGCAGCACAGCCTCTTCCTAAGGAGCAATGAACAAAAGCCTCTTCTCACCAGCTGAACATAAAGCAACAGCTTTTTCTTATATTGAATGCATGACATTTATAAAGACAATATTAATACACTACTAATTCCCCAAACCATACTATTTTCGTAATGCTCCCTTCCCTCACTGTAGCATAAGAGATAACCAGTGACCTCAACTCAGCTCCAGGCTGCTTTCCCAGCTTGTATTACAATCCTGTCTTTTCATAAAAGAGTGAATCTCAACAGATGGAGTCTGCAGCAGTAAGTTCTTTTGCTCTGTGAAGTAAAGACACTTAAGCATCACCAAGCTGCTGATAGCAACGCATCAGAGATTTTTCACTTCATGCCCAGAAACTTGTGGTGGCCAAAACCGAAAGTACTGGCCATCTCCTAAAGATGTTCCTCGGAGAGTATAAAAACTCAGTGTATGTTCAGACAGGTTTAAAGGCAGCCAGCTCCTCCTCCAGGGCCTGCAGCATTCTCACACGGTTCAGCCACCAGAGGGAACCTGAGGACAGCTCCCATCAGCCGCCGGGATCTGTAGATGTGTGTAAGACCTGCTGGTATTTTCATTTCCTTACGATATCACCATTAAGTAATACTACCATATAGTATTTGTAATCTGCTGTACAGAAACAGCCCCGACACAGTTGCCTGGGTTCAAACTTCAGGGACACCCTTCAGCTCATCTCAAGCCAGACAACAACAGCCAGAAAGGAGCGACTTCACAGCTACTGACCTGACCTGCATTTGAACCAGTGATCCAAGAATGAAAGGCTGAGTATCCTGTTAGCAATCATCTGCTGCCATCTAAGGACTTCACACACTTAGGAGCACCGGCCTTTTGTGTGCAATGAGTAGGGAAGGAAAGCTCCGTTTTACCTTCTCAGGCTTCATACCACTCACGTTACCAGAAAAAAAGGAAATGATGCTGTGTCCACATGGCTTTCTGGACGTCTGACAACTGCTAGGGCAGCATCACACTTCTAATTTTAAAGAGAAAAAAAAAATACACAGCTTCCTAACAAATCCAGGAAAACCCATGGGGATTCACTGGCAATTCCACTTCTGAAGGTGACCATGTAAAGCTTGTACTCTTGCACTCCACACACCTACTCCCTCCAAACAGGGATTCAAAGGACCGTTGTTTTTTGGCAATTACCACTCTAAGACGCTTTCTTAAGGTTCAGATCCAGCACATGAGAGTGGAAAGGGCTTTTCAGGTCACTGACTGAAGTCCCTTGATACAGCAGATGACCATATATTCTTTTCCCCCTCAGGGAAAAAAATGGGACCCATTTGTCCCTGA